TGAAGATGGCTTTAAACTAATGTTGCCAGGGGAGGGAAACCTCAATCCATCCCACTCCTGCCAGTGTGATGCCAGTGCCAGCCAGAGATGCTCAGAGCCTGGAGAGGGGTCACGGGTCAGCGCGAGAGCACCTGAAGAGCAGCACAGGGTGATTCCAGCCACTCCAGACAGTAAGCCAGCTTAATGGAGGGCCCAGATAGGTCTCTGTGGAATAAACCGGAGGAATGAGAGAACTTTGCGTGCCTACAGAGCTGTGGTGGGTGGGCTCTGTGACTGGAGAGTTGGAATGAAGGGATACAGGTTCTTTAGGAAGGACAGGCTGTGGAGACAAGGAGGAAGTGTGACCCTCCATGTCAATGACCAGCAGGAGTGCATGAAGCTCTGCCTGGGGATGGATCGGGCGCCACCTTGGAGCTTATGGGTCTGGATTAAAGGGAGAGCAGGGACAAGTGGCATCATAGTAGGGGTCTGCTACGGGGTGACTGACCAGGAAGTGGATTAGTTCCTCTGTAGACAGGTAGGAGTGATCTCATGTTCACAAGCCCTGGTCCTTATTGGGAACTTCAACCACCCAGGTATCTCCTGAGGGAGCAACACAACAGGGCATAAACCATCCAGGACATTTCTGGAATGCCCTGATGATAACTTCCTTCTGCAAGTGACAGAGGAGCCAATGTTGGGCCTTGTTTTCACCAGCAAGAGTATCTGATGAGGAATGTGAAGCTCAAGGGCAGCCTTGGCTGCAGTGACCACAAAATTATGGAGTTAGAATATTTGGGACATTGAGGAGAGCACACAACAATCTCATCTGGACTTTGGGAAAGCAGACTTTGATCTCTTCAGGTATCTGCTTGGTAGAATTCCCTGGAAGGGTGATGGGCCCAGAAGAGCTGGTTAATAATTAAGGATCACCTCCTCCAAGCTCAGGAGTGATGCATCCCAACAAAGAGGAAGTCAAGCAAAAATGCTGGAAGGACTGTGTGCATGAGCAAGGAACTCCTGGACAAACTTAAACACAAGATCTGGATTTCCAGGTTCCTTGCTAGTTCCTTGGATATTTTTCATAGGGTTTGTGATTCTTCATATAGAGCTGTTCACAGTAAAGAGTCTAGAAAGTCCTAATAGAATATTATTTTTTTAAGGTGATTGCTTCTTCTTCTGTAGAGCTTTTAAAATAAAATGAAATGATTAGACTCCAGTTGAACAGATCCTTATTAAAGTAGGAGCTGGTCTGGTAATGACTTAAATTGGTGCTACGTGGCCATCACATGTTATTTGATAAGCATTCCATTATAATTAAGAAGTGGCTAATAGACAATTAATATACAGGATTACATACTTAGCTAATTAGATGATTTAAATTTTTTTGTTAGATTAAAATGTACAGGGCCCCATAAATCACTGTTAGAGGTTGCTTAATAAGCCTGAACCCTTAATTTTCTCCCTGTCAATCAGGAATGGAGCCACTGACTTTTCCGCTCACCCAGAGACTTGTCACATGGAAGAGCTGCTCTGTGTTCAGAATGAGCTGAAATGCCCCCAACTCCCAAACCCTGCACCCGTTTGCAGGACCTCAGAACTCAGGTGCAGTCAGCAGACACCTCTTCAGAGCAGTGGTGAGGGCTGAAGCATCACTTGGCTACAAGTCCCTGGGGGCTCAAGTCTGTTTCCTGAACACCGTGCCTGCTGCAGTTTGGGGTTTGTGGCTATCAGAGGTCAGGGACAGAGTGTCCAGCTCAGCCTGCTGGCAGGTCTGCCTGTCAGGATGTCCCAGGGAGGCCATGTGTGATACCCCATGCTCACAATGGCACACTGAGGTGACTGTCCCCTTCCAAATTGTCCCCATGTCCAGGAAGGCCAGAGAGCTCCTCCAGGAGCAATGCCAGCTCTGCCCCTCTGCCCTCAGAGCAGAAACAAGTGCACCATTGATCATTTCTGCTAGCATTAACTCAGCACTGAACAATGGGCTCTTTCAGCAGCATGGAGTGCTCTGTAAATTCTGATCTGTTCAGACAGAGCTAGGACAGTGACATGGTAATTGGGCTGTTTTTTGTTGGCAAGGCTCACAGAGACACAACAAACAGGAACGGCGTTGACAGGAAATGGCTTAGGGTTGACCAAGAGGCTTCACATTTGTTTTGATGATTTAAAAAAAAATATTCATAACTAAAGTACAAAGCAAGTAAAGTGAGAATGAGATCAAAGGTGGAGCAACACAAAGCCTGACATGTCTGTAAGATGTCACTTACTAGCAATAGTAAAATGTTTTGCTTCACCCTGTAAACTATGTGTGTATTACAGTCAGGGGGAAAAATAAGAGTGGTGTGTAGGGCTTCTTTGCTGTCATGCTTTCATGTTCAAGGCACTTCACAAAGAAGAACTAAATTCTCCTGACAGCTTACATCAGAAATCAGCTTACATCAGCATCCCAAACTCATTGAGAGCCTGAGGAAATTATGACTTACTCAATGTCTAAAATAAAATCCGGATCAGAAGGAAGATATGAAGGTAGATATTTCCACCTTTTGTTTCAGCTCTCAGCTGACCCAGTGCTGACAGGAGAATGCAGGGTTGGAGATTTGCACAACATTGGATGTTGTGAGGGTTACACTGAGGCAACTGGCAGCAGCACTGTGATAGTGTCCCTGGAAGGACAATTAGTCCAAACAGGTGATGACATAGGTGTGCCACTCAAGCCATTTATCTGCCTGAAAAAAAAAAAACCATAAAAAACCTGATCTGGAGTTTTTCATTACTGATTTTCACACTGCTGACTGTCTCTTTCCAAGCAGAATACAATGCTGAGATATTACCAGACATTTCACTGCCTCAGAAACCAAGAAAACATAATCTCTTGAGGTCAGGAGATTATTCAAGAGCACTCAGATATGCAAGAGTCTTTTTAGTGACTAGGTGGGATTCACATCCAGGCTTAATGCCCTGGAGGACAGTGGATGAGGGTGTGGTGAGACCAGCCTGCACTGACATGCACAGAGGCTGGCATTTCAGAAGCACAAATGTGTTTGGCATGGTAGAAAATGGCAGCAGACACTTTTGGTTCTATCAAATAAAGATTTGGGAATATAACATGGTTTTTACTAAAAAACCCACACACAGATTATTGTCACTTTAGACACTTTAGCAGATATTCTAATCCAAAAGCAAAGATGGAAAGGGCTGATATTTACTGCTGGTACATACCACTATCTAATAGAAAGGAGGCTGGTGTGGGGTCTTCAGGGTCCTTCTTGCAAAATATTCATGGCAGCAGTTCATACCTTGCTCTTCCCCTGGCTTTCAACCCATCACTGGATGATGACCTCTTGCACCCCAGCACGGAGCATGGAGAATATTACATGAGTGTGTCTGGGATCACGCATTCCTTTCCACTGGATCCTTTCTAGAGCCAGACAATCTCCGAGAAGAAGGACAGCAAAGTCAGCTGAGCAGCCTGGTATAAGGTGTGCAGGTAGGATGGAGATAAAAGGCTTTGGTTCCAAATCATATTTAATTCTTTGTATAGTGAAACATCTTTGAGAAATTGAGTGGTATGAATTTGTGCACAAAGCACTCAGCTGGCAAGTTAGTTCAAACCCTTCTTACAGAGCAGGGGTTACTTGTCTCTTGGCAGGGAGTGAACACACTCAGCATTATTTCTGCCTTTGTAATCTTGTGAATGACATCTTAGTCCTTTTGAGAGTCCAGCTCAGAAATCAGTGTAGCTGCTATAAAAAATTCTGCTGTGTACTCTTGCGGCATTTCCAATTCTGATGTGTGCATAAACACATCTGATGATATTCACTAAATTTGATCCAAATGTATTGGCATTTGAATTCATAATTTTCAGTAAAAAATTGACTTGGCAGAAGAACTTTGCAAAACTTTAAGGAAAATACTGCATAAGAAAAGCAAAGGTATGCTCTCTATCAAGTTAGTTCTCTAAGGTCCTGGATTAAGCAGCTGCACTTCTTTCTATTAATTCAGTTTCTAGTCAGCTCTTAGACCTTAAAATGTTCACCAAAGGTCACTTTCAGAGGCCACAGCCACAGTTCTGCAGAAGTTGAGATTGGACATTTCAGTCACCCCTCCTGAAAAGTGTCTGCACCAGGTAGCACCCTTAAATTCCCATCTGATGGCAGGCCAAGCACAAACAGCCCATGATAAAATATTTTCTCTTTTGAGGCCATTTTTCTGTTTTTCTGTACAAGATTCTGGAGCTCAAATAAAGAAGGTTACTCCCTGGGGAGTTGCCATAGTAACCTGTGATGTTTTTTTGTTGACTAAGATTAAATATAAGCAAGACAGCAATTACAGAGAAGGATTTTATACCTGAGTTTATAATTTTCATATAACACCAAAGCTGAACTATATCTCCAAGTTCCTTAAGCAATAGCAGTCACCTTGAGGGTGATGTCAACATGGTAATTTTCACTGAAAAAGAAATTAAATGCTGTATTTATTATTCAAGAATCCTGATTAGAAAAATTAAAAAAAAATTCCACTTCTGAAAGATGTAGCAAATAAGAAAGACTTAATTAGAAATGTAAAGATGTGGAAGTGGAAATGGCTGCTACAAATAATATCTAAACCTGCATGTATGAATGCCTTCTATATTCTATTTTCTTCTTACTAGGATTCAGCTATAGTCTGCTCTTAAACTTCTAGTCAGAGAAGAACTTCATGTTGTCCTCGAAAAATAACTTCAACTCTCACAGTGCACACAGGGAAATGATTTTGTTGTATCAATATCAGTTCAGCAACAAACAGAATTTGAAGTTTCAGAATAAAAGGAAAATTTGTTTTAAGAGGGTGTGATGGAGAAAGAATCCATCCAAACTGTTCTCAGTTACGAGCATCAAAGGGAGGTCGGGAAGTCTGGGTTCAGGAAAGGGCATGGGAGCCGAGCTAGCAGAAAGGTCATTTCCATGAGAACTAGCCCAGCAGAGCAAGGCTGGGAAAAGCCAAAGCCAGTCTTGTGAGGACAGCGCAGAAGTGAGCGGTGCAAGGAGAGTGTGCAGGAGCTCCTAGCCCCTGGAGGGTCAGGGGGCAGGTGGCTGCTTCTGGGGCAAGGTCCCTGCCAGTGCTCTCATCAGCCCCAGTCCCCTGTCCCCAGCTGTGCACCCTGCCACCTCCGGACACCCCGGCAGCAGCGAGAGCTCGGCTCGGCCCCGGGGAGAGGGAAGGAACCGCTGGCTGCTCTGAGAAGGTGAGCACGGGCTGGGTCTGTAAGGCTGTGCTCCCAAACTGCCCAGCCTGTCTGGATTTGGTGTGGCTTCCCCACAGCTGGCTGCCCCGCAGATGGCTTCCCCATCCACCCGGCTGCCCAGCATTTCCTGGGATAATTCAGAGGTGGGGGAAAAATTATATGGGCAGCATTGAGATCTCGAAGTATCTCCCAAAAGCAGGGTCGATGTCTCCCTGGCAGTGCAAAAGAGCTGACAGAGCCACTGTCAAGTTTAATTGTCCCTGAGATAATGTCCTTCCAAGTTGTATATATTATACATTTCTGTTTATCCTGAAAATGTGCAATCTTTTTACATAAGTGACTTTGAGACCTGTAGCTGCTTGTCCATGATAGGCACGTGGGTCTGGGCTTCTGATGCTGCATGTGTCTGCATCTTCCCTGGATAATTAGGGGTCTGTTCCCTCCGTGGCTGATTTGCCCTCTGCCTCTTCACCCCCACCAGGTCCCCATTTTGGGGCTTTTGAGGGAAAAAATGGGACTGGGCACCCCAGTGTAATGGGATGTGTTGGAAAGGCTGCAGGGCAAAAGGGTGTTAGGGAGGGAGCAATGCATGGCTCTGGATTTAGTACAAGTGGAAAAAAAATGTCCAAACCAGAATTTTTTGGGAAATACCTTTTTAGCAGAAGAATGATGCTATGAAAACACAAGTGTGGCATGAGATAAAGCAGCAGATGACGTGGAAGACAGCCCTGAAATTCAGACAGTAAACAGATTGCAATAAACTCAAATGCTAATGCAAACAGACCTATATTGCAATAGCCCTCTCCTAAATGCAGGAATTTGGGATTTCAAAGGAAGCAGTAATTTTATGAGTGGTTGGACAAGCTTGGGAAGGGGGAGCAGGATGCATCTATGGATGTTGGCTCTAAGAAGTATCTTGGAGAAGCCAGGACATGCAGTGCTCTTTGGTGCAAATGACGAGGAAAGGGGAGAGCAACAGGTTCTGAAAAGGAGAGGGCAACAATAGGACAGGGGGTACACACTGTGATGGCAGAGCTGGAGGCTATGAGGGGCTCGTGTGTGGCAGTCACCCTCTGCTGAATGCTTGAGGTAGTGATATGGGGGCAAGATTCATGAAGATAAAACTCTCCTTACAGACAGAAAGGCAGAACTGGGCTTTCCAAGGGACAGCAGGGAAGATGGGAGATCTCAGCAGAGGGAGAGGAATACACCTGAGTGGAATTTGACAAGTAACTTCTTTATTTATTTATTTATTTATTTAACCTAGAAAAAGGCACATTTGTGCTGTTAGAAACTCTGTGCAGAAACCTTGAGAATTCCAACAATTTGTTTATAAAAAATGGTTCAAGCTCAGATCAAATAACTTAATCATGAAAATCACATAAATTAAATTTCGGTTAAAGCTGCAGAAAACAAGATTTTCTTTGGCACAAAAAATAATTTTTGATGGTCTGGTCTTTTTTTTTTTTTCCCTCTCTATGTAAAAGACTGAAATCCTTCATTTGCCCCAGTGCTCTCATGGCTAGAAGGTGGTTTAAACTGCAATATTTTGGGTAGAGGAAAGGAGGGGAGAGTGTTCAACAGATAAGTCTGAGGTTTCTGTGTCTGAAATGAGAAGCATTAGAGGTTTGGCCCTGCAGTATGGATTTTAGAGATGAGTTTTCTGATGATGTGAAAAAGAGGCAGATGGACTGTAGGAAAAAGATAAGCAATCGCTATTGCAGGGCTAGAAAGCAAGAAAAATAACAGAGCTATCAAAGGATATAAAGAGTAAGAGTGACAGGAGAAATGAGAATGAAAGGTGGAGAATTATCTATGGGTTGTGACAGCTTTTGGACCATGGTGATGGGAGCTTGTCAAAAACCACGCAAAGAGCAACAAAGGTCTGATGTCCCAAAGCTTTGGTTTGTGCATATTGTGGATTTTAAGGTCAAAAAGCAAAATTGTCACTGCATTTTTGTGGCATCCTGTTAACACAGGCTACTCAGAATCAGCAAGAAAAACCTGCTCTCAAGGCCAGATTTTTTCTACAAACCTTTAAAAATGCTTTATTTTAAAAAATTTGTTTGAGACTCATAACAATTTTTAATGAGTTTATGCATCAGTCATTTGGGAGCGGGCTATTATGCGGCAGAAAATATTTTTGCATTTTACTTCCTTACAGGTCTGTAAAAATGAGGTTGAGAGATAAAGGGGAACTGCAGGGTTTTATAAGAAAGCTTTCAGTGCTGCCACAGAGCTGCTTTATGTACCAATGCCAATTTTGTCAGCTTCTATCAGCTAGGTAGCTGGCGGATTCCTTACCTTTCAGCGTCAAAGGGACACAACATGGTTAACAGCGAGAACTGATTTGCTTGTTCTGTCATTGGTGTTGGATTCCTTACCTTTCAGCATCAAAGGGACAACATGGTTAACAGTGAGAACTGATTTGCTTGTTCTGTCATTGGTGTAGTTAAATTCTGGTTTGGAATTTTGGCAGTAAATCTATGCATTGGTGTTCCCTTTTCTTTCAGTCCTAATCAGGCTTCTCCAGCCTCGCTGTGTCACCTACTCCTTGGCAGTGGTCAGTGGCCTCTTGCAGAAGCCCTGGAAGAAGCCTTTTCCCACAGTCCTCCTCAATTTGCTAAAGAAGGGCCATGTCTGCCTTTGATCAGAGGAAGCAGAGCACAGGGCACACAGAGCCTGAGACAGACTGCATCACCCCTCGGGTGAAGCCAAGGGGTGAGATGTTTGTCTTTATTGATGGGAAATGGGTGAATGACATCTACTGCCAGCCACCCTTTTCTTCACACCAGAAACTCTTTAGCAAGAAGGCACAGAATGAGTGGAGCATCTGGGAGGAGAACAGAGCACTCTGGCAGGAAAACCAGGTCCTCTGGATCAAAAACAGGATGCTCTGGGAAGAAAACAAGGCCCTACAATATCTCCAGTCACAGAACAAATCTGTCCAGGTAATTTACACTGATGCTGTTCAGCGAAGCCTCAAGAGCAAAAATAAGCCATTTCCACTCTTCCAAGAGAGGAGCACAGGCTTTCAGCTCAGCCTGGGCAACAAAGCTCTCCAGGCAGTCCAGGAAAAGAATAAAATCTTTGAGGATTTCCAGCAGGAGAATAAAGCGCTCCCCGTTACCTGGAAAGGCCAAAAAGCCATCACAGTCCATGAAGAGAGCAAAGATGCCAGCTCAGATCTTCAGAAGAGCATTGACACCATCACAGCTGTGGAAAAGGGTAACCCTGGCCCAGTCCCCCAGCAGAAACATGAAGGTAAAAGGAACAGCCCTACTCCAACTCAGAATAAGACTGAGTCTGCCCCAAGTATGCCGGGACAGCATGAAATCCTCCGGGTTCTCCAGGACTTACGTGAGCTCCTCCACACCTTCCTGAAAATGAACCATCCTCCTGGGGAGAAACAGTGCTGTCACAATGTCTATGACATGAACAGATCCTTCCAAGAAGATTACAATAAACTGAAGCTGCAGCTGAATGCTGTGAAAAACACTGTGTCAGACATTGCAGCTCAAATGGACATGCTGGAAAAGGAGATTGTTGCCATCACTTCCCCAATGTATGAAGAAGCAGGGCAGAAGCTGGCAACGGAGCATCAGCTTGGAGACGTGTGAAGCTTGGGGCTAAGAACTGCTAGTTCATTGCCCAGAAAGCTTCTCTCCTTTTCTCAGGAAACTTAATAAAATCCCAATAGAGCCTGAAGATATCTGGGGAATATCCTGCCTATCTGAAACTTTCTTGCACTACTTAGATATATTTCACCTTCTGGTTATATGGTGTAGGTGACTGTAATGAATTTGCCTAGTGTCAGCAATCATGTTTTTCAGCTTTTTTTTTAAAGTTTCTGCTAACAAGGCTTAGATTTTCAGAAGGTTACTGCTTGAGGATCTCAACTCTGATTACAGTGTGCCAGCTTGTAGTCCAAGGACACACTCACAATCTCTGCTAAAAAAGCTTTGACTAATAAAGGAGGATCCCTCCTCCCAGACATCGTGATGGAGGCAGCAGGAGAGAATGAAGCAGGCAGCAGGACTTCTGCACAGAGCAGTGAGGTCCCTCTTGATTTCTCGGATAGTCAGATAAAGCAGGTTTTTACCTGCCCCACAGCAAAAGCAGCATTTTGATGGTTGTTCCATGGCTTAAGCCAGTATTTAGAAGGGCGTCTACTCACACTATAATAGACAGGCCAGCCTGCAGTGATCTGCTGACACAGAAGATGAGAGCCTTTTGATCTGCTCAGGTTTGAAATTCTGGTCTAGTCTCAATTGTGTGGCCAGAGTGGCTGGAAACACATTTCCTCTGTCTCGGACAGTCCTGATGCAGTACACTTTGTCACAATCTTTCAGGCAGAATATGGGAGCCTTTAAGTAATCTGACAAGACAGATGCAGGGAGCCTTCTGCAGAGCAATTGTAGGAGCATTACTGTAAAACAAAGGAGAGGTTACAGTGAGGTTTATCTGTTGCAACAGGACCCCAAAAACAGGCTGTCACTCTAGTTTAAAAGCCTCTAAGTGATTTGCCACGGAATTACCTAAAACATGAACTATCTTTCACCTTGCATTTCACTCAGACAACACCATGCCAAGTGCAAGTGATGACTGTTTACTTCAGAGGCTTAAAACAACTGGTATTTTCTTCTGCTGTTCAGGCTTTGGGAGGCTGAGGCAAATCTCTCAGCATGAAGTCAAATGGCTGGCTCTCACTGTTGTGGGTAGGGCTGTATCTGTAAAAATCAGGTGGGAAGAAGAGGAACAATGTTCATTAGGAGGTGAATATGCAGACAGCAAGTTGCTCCTGCTACAGCTATTAATAGATTAATACCTCAGCACTGTGCTGGGGAACATGCTCATGTTCTGTGCCTTCAGACATGCTGCTTTTCTCTATGTCATCTCCCTCACCATGTTTGAACATAATGTTTGGTAAGAGGGAGAAACAGGACCCTAATGCAGAGGTTCAGAGGAGGACAGCAGAAGAAAAATGCTCTGACCATGTGTTCATATCTTAACAAACTTATTTGTGTTCCATTAGAAGAAATAAACTGCTCTTTTGCCAGTGGTCAGAATACTGACTCCTGCCGTGTCCCTATACATGGGCAAGAAAGACACTTGGGAGTGCATCTTTCCACCACCTGTTTGGGAGGAGTCATAATGTCAGGTGTCCATCCAGGACAGGACATCCAGATCTCAGCTAGTCTCCCTGGGCTTCCTTTCTATCCTGTAGGAAGGAATGGGCATGTTCAGGCTGTGATTAATCTCACTCCTATTAGACTAAAAGTAGGCTGTGTCACCAGCTGGAGTCCCTTGTTTCTCTCTGTTGCCTCTATAATTACTTGGAGGACAATTAACTCAAACTTAGACATTTGGTTTGGAGCTCTCTGAGTGAGAAACTTGGCAGTTCCAGACAGAGGAGATGCTTCATCAAGTGGTGAAGTGGCACAAGCTTGGGAGTGTGTCCCAGTCCCTGGCTTTGCTTTCTGCACGATGCCTTCATTAAGCAGCTGATTGAGATCTCTCTATTGTGTGGAGAAATTATTACTTTGTGAATAAAATTGAGTCAGTTTGGGCAGAGCTTAAATATCATGCACACGTGTAGGATCCTGAGGGGAGCACACTACTTCTCCTGAATGCTAATGATGTTTCTGGAAGGAAATAGGTTTTGTGAGTCCTTTGCACTTTGATCACTTTGGATCTTTGATCTTCCTGGCTATGAGAAAGTCTACACCTGGTAAATATTTTTTGGCATCTCCCATGGAGAAGCTGAACTTTTCATTCTTTCAAGTTTTCTCAAGTCTGTCAAGTGAGATGACTACGTCCATAAAAGACTGCCCAGATCTTTACCTTCCAGAGGACTCTGTGCTGTTCAAACTCTCTGTCCCAGTTTGGGGCAAATATGGAAGGAGACCTCCAAAGGGGTCCCTCTAGAAAGCAAACTCAAGCAGCCCTGCTCCCCACCAGTTCAGGAGACATAAATCTCCTTTGAGAAAAGTGGAAAAAACTGTTTATTTAACAAGCAAAGTGGAAAAAGGAATAATATTAAACAATGGAACCTCTCGCTGCTCTCTAGAGAGGGCAAATTCAGAGAATCCTTGTCGTGGGGTGTAGCTCAGCTCGCTCAGTCTCTTATCAGTCTGTCTGGCACTGGAAAATGCTGTGTCCTGGGCCCTGGTTGGCCACAGGTGTGAGCTCCTGGTGTTTTTCTGGGATTTCAGTCCAGAGCGGGGCTGAACAGTTCCAAGAAAAAGAAAAAAAACAGTCCAGAGAACATCTCTGCCTCAGCTAGCTAAAAAAAAACCTAAAAAAAAAACCAAAGGAGAGCTCTCTCCTGCTGTCTATCCGTGCTGCAGACAGCACAGTCCAGGAGAAGGATGTGGGGGAGCAAGTGCAGTCCCTGATAACCAACTCCATGCTTCTTCTCTCGCTCCTTCACTCTCAGAACCAGTCTTGAAGGTGCATAACTCAATATCCAGCATAAACAGAACAAAGTATTGGGGATACAAGCACCATAAAGTCACCCTAGGACACTCTCAAATCCCAGAAGGTACCAAATCTCCAGACTCTGCTTATTTGGTTACAAACCAGAGCGAGTTGGTGACAGCAGTGGAGGATCATTTCTGGGTGGTGCTGGAAAGGCAGATGACCATTGCTTGATCTGTTAATGCTAAGGGCATAGATGGTGAGATCTGACTGAGTGGCCTGCAGAGTGCCACAGGACTGCATGGGGAGATTCCTAAGCACTGCCCATTTCCTGCATTGTTCCATGTCCCAGCCAGTGCCATTTACCAGTTCAGTGGTGCCATCCTACAGGTCTCCACCTCTAGGACGTGTGCTGGTGAGAATGGTTGGACTGACAGCTTTTGTGCATTATTTCAGGTACAAATGGAAGAAAAGTGCAACAGCAGGCATTTACAGAAAATACTTATTAATTATCATAAAATTTAGGCATGTTTGGGGAAAAAAATGAAGTAAGTTTAATATATTTTTCTAGTCTGCTCACTGGGTTACAAGTCCCTGGAAATTAATAGCTCTTCTGGCTTGAAATGATGGATATCATTCTTATAGTGCATAATTTACCTTTTGTGGAAAGACAAACTTTCAGACTCTCTCTTTATTGTTGCTGATTAGGTCCTTACTTTTTACTACTCATTTATCAGTACTATTTTTGGAAAGCTGGATTTTTGGCAAGGTCACCATCAGCTTCTCACTTCCCTGTGAATTGGATTATTGCCTCTAGCTGGGCTCTGTGGAAATGCTGACTTTCCTGTTCTCATTTTTTACTAGACAGTCTAATACATCTGGGTTTGTACTGTCTTCATAGAACACCCACCCTGCCCTTTTGTGCTCATCTCAGCAGCCCCACCACATCCTCACACCCCTAAATTGCAATTTGGGAATTTTTTCACAGTGTTATGAACTTCCTTGAGCCCTGGCTTGCTCCTGTTAACTGCTGAAGACAGTTTTCCCAGAGTTTTGATTGTGATTTCATGAAGTTGAGGACATACTACAAAAGCTGTTGTGCTGGCCAAAAGCCACCCTTTCCACACTGGTGCAGACTGTTCATTGGTGTTCTCAGCAGCCCAGTTTGCTCTTTCCCAGCCAGTTCCCAGCCAATTCCAGTTCAGCTGAGAATTAGACATAAGTGTACATTTAAATGCAGGAAAAAGTGAAAGTCTTTCACTCAACCTTTTTGCTGAACCTGGACTAACCATCTTCTTTTTTTGACATCCAGTTTGGGCACAGACTACTCAAATTATTCCTGAAGTGAGGTGCAAAGAAGAGGGGGAGTAGCTCCTCAGATAAGTTTCATAAAGAAATACTTTCTTACAGTGGTTGTTGGCTGGGTTTAGAGCAGAAAGCTTTAAAACTTTACCACATTTTCCAAAGTGATGTTCACCTCAGCTAGGTGGAGACACTGAAATGAAAGAAGTAACTGAGACCCATGGCCAGCTGAGGTCACTTCTGCAGCTGGTGGAGGTAGGCAGGATTGCCAGAGGGTCCAAGTCTTTCCCTCCTGACTGCAGAGAGCCTGGAGTGGTCAAGGGAAGGTGGGGAGGGTTGAGACCTGAGACATGGTCACATCAGTTGATGAATGGCTGACAGAGAGCTTTGGATGGAGCTAAGGGAAAAAAAAGTGAGTTTATGATAATAAGGGGCAGGCAACTCAGAAGAAGCTCTGGGGTGTTGTGAGGTTGTACAGGGAGAAAATTAAAAGGATCAAATCCCAAATAAAACTTGTTCTGGTTACTGTTGTAAAAAATGTTTCTGTAAATTCATCAGCAAGAAAAGGAAGGCTAAGGAGAATCTTGACTCTGAAGTGGATGTGGGAGGAAACATTGTGACAAAGGATGAAGAAAAGACTTCAGGTACTTAATCCCTTCTTTGCCTCAGGCTTTAGCAATAGGACCAGCTGTTCTCAGGGTACCCAGCCCTCTGAGGTGGAACAGGAGCAGGGAGCAGAATGAAGCCCCATTATCCAAGGGTGGATGGTCAGTGACCTGCCTCATCACCCAGACACACACAGTGCATGAGGCTGTTGGGCTACACCCAGGGGTACTGAGGGAGCTGGTGGAAGTGCTCACCAAGGCAATCCCCACCATTTACCAGCAGTCCTGGCTACATGTGAGTCAACTCTCTACCTCCAGTCAACTGGAAGGAGGGTCTGGGGAGCTACGGGCCTGCCAACTTAACCGTGGTACTGGAAAAGGTTATGGAGCAGATCCTCTTGAGTGTCATCAGGTGACACACGCAGAACAACCAGGGGATCAGGCCCAGCCAGGATGGGTTTGTGCAAAGCATGTCCTGCTTGACCAGCCTGATCTCCTTCTGTGACAAGGTGACCTGCTTAGTGGCTGAGGCAAAGGCTGTTCTCTCTGTTGACTGTTGTGGTGAATGAGGTACATCCAGTTGGTGGCCAGTCACTGGTGATGTCCCCAGGGCTCAGCACTGGGGCTGCTCCTGTTTGATATCTTCACTGATGATCTGGATGAGGGAACAGGATGCACCCTCAGTCAGTTTGTGGGTGATACAGAATTGAGTGGGAATGTTGATCTGCTGAAAGGCAGGAAAGTCTGCAGAAGGATCTGAACAGGCTGCATCAATGGGCTGAGGCCAATTGTGTGGGGTTCAACAAGGAAAAATTCTGAGTCAGAACAACAACATTTGGGTCAGAATAACGCCATGCAGCCCTACAGCCATTCACACAGTCTCAGAGTCAGGGATTAGGCACCAAGCAAGTTTTAAGCACTGCATCTGAGGCTTCTGTCCTGTGCCACTTGAAGCCTGTGCCAAAACTCCAGCTGAGCTGAGCATCAGCAGGACAGAGACACACACACAAATAGCATGAGCAAATCTCTCCTAATTTGTTGCAAATACATACTTTTTGTTTTTTCAGCCTTTCTATGTCTCTGATTTCATAGATTTTTTTAAATGCTTTTGGTGCAAAAGGTAAAATCACAAAACTTTCAAATCATCAGAAAAATATAATTGGCAGAAATGTTTTCTAAATGCAAATTGAACATTTTCCTTTTGATCGTGGGCTATGCCAAAGCTCTAACATACATCTTTGATCTTATGGCAATGTCTGGAGAAATTATGGTATTCTAATATGGAATAATAGATTCTCATCAAGACTTCTAGCTTTAGGAAATTGTTTAATCTCCATTCTCAGTGGCTGTTTCTTTGATGCAGCTGTGGCTGAAGGGTCCCAAGTGCTGGAAAAACAGCTCACCAGCTCAGAACAAAGCTGATTATGTAAATCGTGCATTAAGATTCAGTTTCAATTTAATTTTATTCTGTAAATAAATATCCCATTAACATCCATCTGTTAAAAGTCAGGTAAAACATTTTCAAAGACTCCAATGCTATGACAGATGTGACTGTACCATAAATAGCAATGGTGTGGTAGTACGAGGATGTCAGAGTATAAACTGTGAAGCATATTTTAAGAAGTAATGAAGGTAATAACATTTAATTATAACAAAAGAGACCTCATCTGATTGAGACAGACAGGGTTTCCATTTGTGTTGTTCTGTTAGCATTATGCAAAATGCTTTCTCTGATCACTATCTCCAAGAACACTAACAATTATATCCCATTAATTCACTTAAACCACAAAAACATTTCAGCTGATGAAGGTCATTACTGAATTATGTCCAAGCCTTTTGCTTAATATCTTTTTATTTCAACAGCTTACTTGAGAGCAGTCATTTTCCCTTTGTCTAGCTGGTACTTCACCACCAATGCTGTTAATAGATTGTACTGATCAGGAACAGAATGATGAACCCTGTCAGGTTTCCTAAATTAGTTTTCAAAGAGTATGAGAAGGTTCAAGTGCTCTTAACCCATAGCTATTTTTAACTATTTTAAAAGTCAGAGATTTCATATGCACTGCAAAAGAGCACTCAGCAAGGAAGCAACCAAGGGGCTGGAGCAAATTTCACTTATACTGGAAGTATAAAGCTGTGTGTGTGTCAGCTGGAGATTAAAAACAGGTTCCCTATATATTCTTAAACATTCTGAAGGAGGAATGGTAACAGCGTTAATTTAATTCCATAAAGATAATGGAAAATTATTTTCTATGTCACACACTGTAGGGAATGGTTAGGGGTAGTGCATTGCTATACCAAAATGGAACAAGAAAGGAGAAATTACAATTCTTCATGGTACAATCAGACTTGAGCACAATCTTCCAGTGCTCTGCTATTATACCTAAGCTCCTTGTTTATGGAAATCTGCCTCATATATGCAAATCCTCCCTGCTTGGCAGAAGCTGGCCTTAGGCATAAAAAGACATGCCTGTAAATACCTAAATGTTGATACAACAAAATGCCCTATGCCACACTAAAGCTGGCAGTCTAATTCCTGGTAAAACCAGTACTACATTGAAACCTTATTATCAGAGCAAAGAAAAGCAGAGTCTGGTTTCAAGAATGGTTTACTGCTCAGTTTAAGTGTATTTACAAGTCCAAGACAGCTCAGTGGTGCTCCAGGCATCAGATATAATGAGGTATGTCCTCATTCCTGTCCAATTTTCCAAAGGTCATGGGGACTGCAGATGCAACTGAAGAATACAGCTGATATAACAGGTTCTTCTCATGCATCAGTACAGAGAAATTCTCTTTTGACTGTACATTTTTTCAGCTATCTTAGGCTTTTATCATCCACTGGATTTTACAGTGGTGTGGGTGTTGAGTAAGCACTAGCAGAGGGCCATGCAGACTTGATCACCTCCCACAGGTGAAGTTGGATTAGGAAAGGGAGGTTATCCCACCCCACCAGGCCAGACCTAGAGCTTTGACTGAACATAAAGACCTCTAAATGACCCTGAGCTTTGCTGTATTTCAGCAATCCAGGAAGTTGTTGGATAAGGGCAATGAACCATAGAATCATTTGGGCTGGAAAGGACTTCTAAGGTCATTGTGTCTAGTCAAGTCCAGTATGGATCTCTCTTGAAGATCCACCTATCTCTCCCCTTCTCCACTACACCTATAGGCATGTCTTGGCTGAAACAGCTTCTCCATCACCTGTCCTCTAAGATCCCAGGCTGCAAAGATACTGGAAGTCTGGAGGAACAGGACTGTAATGAGGGAAGGTACAATGAACATCGTCGCTGCCAGCAAAGCTCTGCTCAGGTGTGCTCTGAGACACCCTGAGGGGTTTCTTGGCTCTAATACCTGCATGGAATACAACACACCAACACAATCCTGCTCAGGAAGGTTGTTTAAGACATTATTCAGGCTGATGTGCTCTGTTGAGATGGCAGTGGGAGAAGCAGCAAGTGACACTGCTAGAGAGCATCTCTGGAGATTTAGCATTATCCTGACCAAGACTGTCCAGGAAAGTACTCTTTTCCTGGCACTGACACCAACTATTCTGCAAGTGGAAAAAGCTCAGACTCTTCAAGGGAGTATAAAAAAAGAGATCATGGATGCACACACTCCATGAAGCTGCTCCAGGCAAATATACAGTCACAGACAAAGCATTTGTTGCACAATCTGTACTCTTTTACAACGTATCATGTGGTCTGGTTCTCAAGATTCAGACACAAAATATAACTTGTCTTTTTAAAAAGGAAAAAAACATCTCTCCTCTTATTCTTGACAACCCATGTCACAGCTTAGCTCTGCCCCTCTGCCCATGATATGATACAGTGGTTATCCATTTTCTCACCATATTCCCAATCTCTCCCCACATCTTGTTCACTCTCGTCCCTTAAATCTCAAAAGTCTTACCTGGAACAAGTTACCCTAAGTCATGTAACACACATGTTGAAATTGACACTCTTCTGAAGAATGAGGTTCCTGGGGACTCCTGGAAATGTCACTGTTATTGCTGGTATTTGAAAATGGGCTTGGATTTCATGTAATTTCAGGAAGATAGTTGAATACAAAACTGATCAGGGCTATTTCTGTTTTATATATATATATATATATATTTTTTTTCCAGCTTTACTCAGAAAGTCAAAATCCTTGCCACTGATTTTCAAGTCTCTAAGTAGACTTGAACCACCCTTGTGTATTTTTGGCAGGGAATAAAAAACATGCTGTAGCTGATGGGTTTTCCATCTTGAGGCAGGCAGAGAGCAGTCAGACTTCTGGGGCTGGGTGGGCTTGCTGAATGCCCCCCTTCACCCCACACTCCCAAAGGGACATTTCCAATTCATTATGCATTCCCTATCCAGAATGAAAATCTTTTTAGAAGAGGATTTTTAGAAGACACATGTTATTCTAATCAGATGCCTCTGTGAACTCTGCAGCAGAGAGGCCAGGGACTGTTGGCAAGCTTTATTGAGTATGACTTAAATGCATTAGATTAGAAAGCACTCAATTTAGCTGGTTGTTTTTCCTGATTTGCTTGGCTACTCCATCTTTCCCTCCCTCTCCTTTATTGTGATGGAGATGCCACGAGGCTGGCATGCAGAAAAGGCTTCATGTCAGCATAATCAGGGTCCTAAAGACAAGATGCATCTACAACTGCAGAGCACAATGATCAAAAGTATTCCAGAGCTTCCTAATTAACCTACCTAATTTATCTTCACTTTGTGTGGTAAACTGCAAGTTAAATACAAGAGAGGGGTAACTCAAGGCCCCATTTTCAGAAGGTCAGCCTTGCAATTTGCACAGACTCTTTCCACTTGGGATTGAAAAGCAAGCTCATGTAAAAGTGTTGCCACCTTCATCTACTTGCTGGGATAAATGGGAGTGGATAGAGATGCAAGTACACAGAGAAGTATTTTGCACGGGAAAACATGGAGATACA